TTTTTTGTTGTTGTGATGGTCTGTTGTTTTCTTAGTTTGTGTATTTAGCTCATTTTGCGTCAACATTCTTCTCAAGGTGTTTAAAAAGGTTTTAAAACGTTACGTTTTAAGTACTGTTTAATAAACGAGCAGGAGTGTTTTCTTAGGTTTAAAGCCACGAGCGTGCAGCGCGAGTGCATGTCTTTAGTTTAGACCTAATAAAACACGACCTGCTCGTTTATTAAACGGCTTAAGGTTTAAAGCCACAGCACGTGACATAATATGGTTGACATGATTTTCCATTAAGCTTATGAATTATTAACGATGTTTGAAAAGGTTTTAAAATGTTACGTTTGCTATTTTAGCAGTTCGTGTAGCATGAAACTGGCATTTGAACATATTTTCGGGTTGGTCAGACACCTTGTTTTGGAAACGGGTGTAAAACTAAAATTACACAGTAACTTACTTTCAGTCATTAGGTTCGTTCAAAACTATAGCGTTAGATGATGAATATGGCATATGCTGCTCAGTAGTATTTATATTTTAGGAAACTTTTATGTGTATTTTGTTGTCCTAGTGTCATTAGTTGTAATTAATGTACGGGGTTTGCCTTGTTGGGACTTCAAGTCTGTTTGCCAATCCCTTATCTAACTCGCCTTTTCCTCTTTGTAATGTCTACTATTTTTGTTTTTAAATTAATGTAGTTTTGTATATTCTAGTAAGTTCGATTAGATAGATAGATGGTTTATTACATATAAACATTGCAGCCAATAGGCTGAATTACGTTTATATTTACAAGTTAAGAAAATATTAAAATACTATACAACCAAATGTCTCTAAAAGGATCTAAGAATGTTCTAATAATTTTATGATGAATAATTTAATGCATTATATATAATAAAGCTATTTTTAAAACGGTTAGTCTGAAATACAACGTTAAATCTATGACTGGATCTAAGAGCCATATGAATTAACAGTTTCATTACGTGGTGGAAGAAGATTATAAAGCTTATGGCTATCATCAGTCACTATTTCTTCAAATAGTTTGTCTGAAAGACCATCTCTTCGATGGCTGAGTCGTTGGAGGCCAGTTGATTGTAAAGCGTCTTCATATGAGACCCAAGGTAAGATAATTATTCGCAATGCTAGTGCTCTCTTTTGGATCCGCTCCAAATCCTGATGTAATTTGTCAAACCATTATGGAATACAGGACTTGCGTATTCTAGGATTATGCACGTTGTAAAGAATAGGACAAGTTCTTTCGTGCCAACTCTCGCTCTCTTAAGTTGGGAGAGGAAATAGAGACGCTTTCGTGCCTTTGATATAATTTGGTCAATGTGACTGTTCCATTTCAAATTGTTAGAAACCGTCAGACCAAGGATTTTAGCACTGTCGACCACTTCCAACATTTCTCCATTTACTATAATAGGGTCAAACATTGCTCTTGGTTTGCAGAATCCGATTCATAACTCCTTGCATTTAGTTTCGTTAAGTTTGAATTGGCTCTCAGAGATATGTCTTGTTAGGTCATCTATAAGGGTTTGAACTTTACTTTCTTCGTTTTTCCCAACAATTTCGTCTAAAGTTGTATCGTCCACAAATTTCCATATATTACTATCGTTAATCTTTAAGTCATTTATCATTATGATAAACAGCCAAGCCCCCAACTTAGTTTCTTGTGGAACACCAGCTGAAATGTCGGCCCAATCTGAATAAGAATTTTGATTTAGTTTCACCCGTTGTTTTCTTCCTGTGAGAAAGTCTTTGATCCATTTAAACACCCATTGAGGTCAATCATACGTCTTTATTTTGGAAAGTAGCAAGTGCTGGTCGATGAGGTCAAACGCCTTTTTGAAGTCGAATAGTATAACTCTAACTGTTGCCCCCGTTCCATCTGCGGCTGCATTCCACTTATGAATCATACTCAGGAGGGTGAACACGGGGCTTGATCTTGGGATCGCACCATATTGAGTCGGATCAACTCTACAGAGCACGGCTGGCTTTACGAATTCGTCAACAATATAATCCTCAGACACTTTAGAAATTATGGGTGTAAATGTTATTATTTACACTGATTAAATGTTATTATTATTATATTTCAAGAGCTCAAGTCCTTTATGATTATACATGAATGCTGAGTGAATTTGAGAAAGAAGTACTCTTACTTGTGCGTGGTTCTCATCAATATGTTCTTCAAGAAGATTTTTATTCACAGGTTCGCCACATTGTGGACAAGATGTCAGAAATCTCTGACAGTGAATGACATGCATCTCAAAGTTTGCACTTGGGACATCTTGCTTGCTGCAAATGAAATGAACAGTCGTGATAATTCCGTTAACATTTTAGGCCTCCTGCATATGCAAATATCGACGCCCCCCCGTGGAAATCAACTTTTGTAGTTGTCGGGGCTAGCGTCGCTAAATAAAGTGTGTATGTATCATGTATGTATATGTAAACATTATACAGCACTCTCCCTTGATGAGTATAAAATCATCTGGCAAAGTAAAATAATAAAGTCATAGGCATACGAGACAGGGGGCAGGCAAAATTTTGAAAAACCATGGAAATTCGGCGAATGATAGGAAAAATCAAGAAAATTCGGCCAGATTTATCAGAAAATATGTTAAAATCAGGTTATTTCATTACAATTCTCCACAAAAATTTGGGCAAACTTTTAACTGCCCCCCCCCTCCCCCGAAAACATCAGTCCCATTCTCCTATGAATAAAGTAGGACACATCCAGGCACAATGCAACTTAATGGGTTAACTACTGAGACACATGGTCAGATGGTAGAGTATGAGAGAAAATTAAGCGTGGTAAGAGGTTGAGATGATCTGATTGACCCATTGAGTGCCAGAGATCCTCCATTGACAAGTAAAATCATCTGGCATTAGTCCAGAGTAAATAATAAAGTAGAGTGCATCAGGGTGCATGTGATGCTTGCAACTTAATGGGTTAAAACTCTTTAAGTGGCAATTATTAAATGTGTATGCCTTAATTTGTTATTTTACTCTGTCTAATGCCAGACAATTTCACTTGTGAAAGGGCCAGAGACTGCTGCCCCACTCAATGGGTTAAACTGACAATCTATTATGTTAAGTAACCCTTTAATTGGCAATAATACACCCTGATAAGCCATACTTAATTACTACAGGCTTTTAACCAGAAGGGTATTCACGCGTTCTGGGACGCCCTTAGAACAAAAAATGGACGCCTTTGGACGCCCAAATTCTGGGGAAAAAGGGAAATTACAGTATTTTCAATTATTTCCCTAATGAAGTATATTAAAATATCTGAAATGAAATAGCTAGCTTCAATTCTCATTATTGTTATATGTACATTTCACATTTTGATCAATTTGATGGTGTACCTGGCTGATTGAAAATGTCATAGTTAAGTATAAAGAAGCATAGCGGCACAAACTCACAAAGCCAAGTGAGTTTGAAAAATTTCGAATGAGCTTGGATTAACAGATACTGCACTCAACCC